CACTTCCGGAGCCGACTTATGCGTGGTTACACATTGCTGGCACCTCCTTCTGAGTATTTTTAGAACTCGCTGTCTATTGCCATCTTGTGAGTGTGGTTCTCGCTTCTGCCGCCGATGACAAGTGGCCCATTTGCTCTGTCGGCTACATCTTGTGAGTGTGGTTCTCGCTTCCGGTGCTGCCCATGTGAGTTTCCGTGAGTTCTTGATCCTCCTTGTCTGTTGTCGTCTTGTAAGTGCGGTTATTGCCTCAGGCGCCATCATACGTGTGAGAAGGAGCCTACGCTCCCGCATCCAACGCCCTCGTGTAAGTGTGGCTCTCGCTTCTGACTTTATCATGGGAGTGTTGTGCTCCATCTATTGCCAGCCTTGTAAGTCTTCGCCTTGGGCTCCTACTTATGGTTATCCTTTTCGCTTCCAGCTCGACCACGCCAGGCGAAAAAACGCGCCTCAAAAATTCGCCAAGTGGTGATCGAACCCACGCCCTAGGGGCACACCTTGTATTAGCAGGCAAGAACTATACCCACTGAGCCAAGGAGGCCGGTGTGTGTGTGTGCGTTTTTTTTGGGGTGNGGGGGGGGGGGGGGGGGGAGGACGAGGGAAATCCTATTTACGGATTCAACATGCAACAAAGGTGTGCGTCGCATGGATATGTCAGAATCGAGTAGTGTACTGTTGAGTGTGTACAGGTGTTGTGTGGGCGGATAGTGTGCCTCTCTACTAATACCGACTAAAACTGATCCTCTTAGCCGTACTTAGAACCTTCTGTATGGCATCGATGGTTGACCTTCCTTTACGGAAGCCAAACTAAGAGTCTGTTAGTCCAGCAGGACTCTCTGTAAAGGCTTCAAGACGATCCGCAATGATCCTTTCTATGAGCTTGCCTGCGGTGTTCAGCATGCAGAGCGGGTGGTACGACGAGGGCTCGAAGGCAGGTTTGCTTGGTTTTAGCATCAAGACAAGCCTTTGACGCTTCTACCGCTCCGGAAAACATTCCTCCCTGAGAAATGCCGTAAAAATACGGCGAAAAACGTCCATACGAGTACTTACTGCGGCTTTCAGGGCAAGGTTTGGGATTCCGTCTGCCCCGGAGCCACCTGATCACGCACCCTCCGGCACGCTTCTCGAAGTTCCCCAACGCTTACCTCGGGGATCCGCTCGTCATACGTCCAGGTAGGCAGGCCAATCTGAAGAGTTGTAACTCTCGGGAAGAGCGTTGAGACCGCTCGTCGCACCACCCACCATAATTTTTCTGTTAGGTTGGTGTGATCACCGCCTGTCAATATAGCAGAGCCGTTGCTCTACAATACAACACCTACAAAAGCGATTCGAGCGCCGCGAGTCAGCCAATCGCCGTCTTTCCCTACTCACTCCGTATCTTTACACCGCCCTGCGCGCACGTTTAGATTCAGCTCTAACTTTTCTTTGCCAAGTGCCTTTTCGTTTCTTTTACGATAATAAGTTCGATTACCTTTTGTACGTTTCGATAGAAACTTTTATACATCATTCTTCATTAATATCAATTAATAAAGTTCAGTGTGTGTTTGATAAGTGAACCGTGTAAGTAATTAATCAACCCTTCTATTCCAACTAATTATCCTCGTCGAGCCGAATCATAATCACCACATTTTCTGAGTCAGGGCACGGTAAAAGTGCCGCTGACGGCATCGGAGGATCGCTAAAAAGATTAGCAGATAACGCTGTCTTATATGGTGTAACAGTTTAAACTCGGGAGGCAGATAAAATGTTTGGTGAGACGTCCGTTGACCTGTAAATGGGGAACGAAGAAAAGGTGTGCCAAAAATAATCTACGCGATCATGTCGTGTATAAGTAATAGTTAGGCTTATTTATTAGGAAGGGCGCCAGTAACGATAGTGACGCCTAAGGATATAAAATACAAGAAAGCTTAAGATTAAAAATGATGTGCGATAATTGTTCGCTCGGCACGAAACATTCACCCATAAAATTCGTTAACGGCGTCGGGCCACCGTGGCTATTTCGGTAGATACGACGGTAGTGAGTTTAGGCTAGGTAGGGACAAGACCGAGAGAGATCGAGCGTGTTGAAAGATACAATAATATGGCGCATATGCAGGAGATAATCGAGAGACTTACATTCATTGACTAAACTGGTGGTTGATTGGGCCTGACGAAGACTGCAAAAATAGCGAGGGCAGATGAGAAGGCAGCCAGATGTTGATGCTATCCAGGATGGCAGACTCACTCTCACACACGCTGGCCATCGCAGGTCACACACGAGAGGGCTAGGTAGCTCGAAGCTATTTCACGCGAGGTCCAACACAGAGTGTTCGCTTCATCAACTCCTCGTCGGCTCGTCAGTCAGCATAGGCCTCTCTTTCCACTTGATAGGCTTTCGTCTGCTCATAGGGCAGCACGCGCCAAACCCGTCTACGCACGCAGCGTTGATCGCGGCTCTCTCTCTGCAAATTCGGCGCTTATCGAAAATTGGCGCCGATCCGCATTACAATCAGGCTCGCTTATTTCAGATCTCTGTCTCGAGCGGAAGGAATTTTATGATATAATACAAAGGAAGGAGTACCGCCGGACCCTGTGCAGGACTACTTCCTTACAATGGAAAAGATTTAGATAATTTTCAAACATTATTTAATTATTTAAAACAAGCGTCAAAGAGAATAGATATTTTTTCAGAATCTAAAGAAAATTTTGAGACTTTGGAAAAAATGCTGCCTCAGGATTTACCGACTTTTTTAGAAACTATGAAAGTTCATTAGTATACTTGGTTAAATAAGAATTTGAATATTTTAAAGTTTAATTTTTCAAGTTATAACAATAAATTTCCTGAAAAAAATCCGAGCAAACCAAGAATAAAATCCATTGAAGTTTTAGATAAAAAAAGAAAATTCAATTCGAAAATATCTAATCTTAAATCATGTACTGTTCAAAATGTTCTTTAACTAGTGGAGGAGTGCACACCTTCAAAGAGTAATTGTCGAAAAAGCTCGAGAGCCAAAAAGTTAACTATAAATTGTAAACTACAAACTATAAACTATAAACTATAAACGAATATTTGTACCCGAATTAAATTGAAGCAAAAACGCGTCACTCTCTAAATTATTATATCATAAATGAAAAAACCATATTTTTATTTTATTGTTAAAGTAGTGAATTACACAGGCACACAAAAAAAAATGCTCAGCCCCAGAGACCGGACCCAGTAGACTTTATGTTTTTGGGGTCGCTGAATCCGAATCCGTCGTCGGTTTTTCGCCATCAGATCGATTTAAGGTCATTTGAAGATCATTCAAAGGTCAAATCATGTAAAATAGGTTTTAAAATCTGAAACTATTCCTACATAGGTTTTTGAGGATGCTGAATTCAAATCTGAAGTCAGATGACCTCTACGACCTTACCTTCAAGGTCATTTGAAGGTCAAACTTAGAAAATGCGATATAAAAATCCGAAAAATATATTTTTTTATGTTTTGAGAGTCGCTGAATTCTAATTCAAGGTCATTTTGACTCAATGTTGACATCTAAAGGTCATTTAGAGGTCATTTGAAGGTCAAATCATAAAAAACAGGTTAAAAAATTGGAAAAAACTCCTATATGGGTTTTTGAGGATGCTGAATTCAAATCTAAAGTCAGATGACCTCTTAGACCTCACCTTCGAGGTCATTTGAAGGTCAAACATAATAAATTCGATATAAAAGTCCGAAAAACATATTTTTTATGTTTCAAGGGTCGGTGAATTTGAATCAAAGTTCATTTACACTATACTGACTAATTTTAAGCTTATTTCAAGATTAAATCTAGTGAAAACGACAAAGTATCGAAAAAAGATTGTGTATAGGTTTTTTGAGCCAAGTAATTCAGCTTTTTGATTGAGTAACCTGTAAAAAGTTAAGATAAATGTAATTTCAAGGTTAAGTTCATGAAAAGAGGGCATAACTTGATGAAATATTGTTAATTTCCTATGCCTTTTTACTTTTTTCATTTGTAATGCCCCTTTTTTTCTTCAAACGATCGGCCTAAAGGTTGCCGTCTGCGTTTAGTCCTTTATGTTCACTCTCTTTCTCTTCAACATCCAGCAGTAATCAGCCATCATTGCCACATCCCATCTACCTTGATATCGCTGCTCCATATGTTTGATGTCATGATAGAATCGTTCTCCCTGCTCGTCGCTAAAATCACCGCAGTTTTTCGGGAACTCATCTGAATGGTTATGCAAGAAATGCAGTTTGTAAGACATATTACATTTCATTTCACCGAAATTGTTTATCATTGTTGATATTAAAACTTTGTAATCATCGCTTCTGCGATTACCTAGAAAATTTTCCACAACATTTTTGAAGCTATGCCATGCAGCTTTCTGAACCTCAGTCATCTTAGTTGGAAAATTGTCATCTTTCAGCATTTTTCTTATTTCTGGTCCATCGAATATTCCTTCTTTTAATTTGGCATCAGATTTAAAGGAAAATTTAGATTCTAAATATTTGTAACCATTCATCACTCTCACTCAAAGCTTTTACAAATTGTTTCATAATGTCCAATTTAATATGTAAAGGAGGTAGTAAAACTTTTCTAGGGTCTACTAACGAACTGTTAATAACATTATGATGTCCAGCTTCTAAAGAATTTCTCTCAGTCCACTTGTGGTCGGTGTAATGGTTTTTACGATCTCTGCTGTCCCACAAGCACTTGAAACATGGGTACTTTGTAAATCCAGATTGCTGTCCCATCAGCATACCAAAAACTTTCAAGCCCTTATTGCAATAATGTTGAAGGTCTTATGACAGAAATTAAATGTAATATTTATAAAACCGACGAATGGAGACTTTTTATTGATTCTTCGAAAAGGAGCTTAAAAGCTGTATTGTTGCATAATACTAATAAGTTTGCGTCTATTCCTATTGCTCACAGTACAACTATGAAAGAACGTATGGAAGTATGAAGATACTATTAGAGAGCATCAACTACCAATAAAATAAATGGCTAATATGTGAGGACTTGAAAGTTTTAGTTATGCTGATGGGACAGCAATCTGGATTTACAAAGTACCCATGTTTCAAGTGCTTGTGGGATAGCAGAGATCGTAAAAACCATTACACCGTCCATAAGTGGACTGAGAGAAATTCTTTAGAAGCTGGACATCATAATGTTATTAACAGTCCATTAGTAGACCCTAAAAAAGTTTTACTACCTCCTTTACATATTCAATTGGGCATTATGAAACAATTTGTAAAAGCTTTGAGCGAGAGCGATGAATGTTACAAATATTTAGAATCTAAATTTTCCTATAAATCGGATGCCAAATTAAAAGAAGGAATATTCGATGGACCAGAAATAAGAAAAATGCTGAAAGATGACAATTTTCAACTAAGATGACTGAGGTTCAGAAAGCTGCATGGCATAGCTTCAAAAATGTTGTGGAAAATTTGTGGAAATGAACTTTGATTCAAATTCACCGACCCTTGAAACATAAAAAATATGTTTTTCGGATTTTTATATCGCATTTTCTAAGTTTGACCTTCAAATGACCTTGAAGGTAAGGTCGTAGAGGTCATCTGACTTCAGATTTGAATTCAGCATCCTCAAAAACCTATGTAGGAATAGTTTCAGATTTTAAAACCTATTTTACATGATTTGACCTTTGAATGACCTTCAAATGACCTTAAACCGATCTGATGGCGAAAAACCGACGACGGATTCGGATTCAGCGACCCCAAAAACATAGTGTCTACTGGGTCCGGTCTCTGGGACTGAGCATTTTTTTTTTGTGTGCCTGTGTTATTAATGAATTTAATAAATTTTATTTTTGTATATAAAAGATTATTGTAAAATGTTAATTGATTTAATTCATTACCATTTATTAGAATTGATCAAAAAATCGGTGAGTATATAGCGATCGACCGGTCAAGTACCGAATCTTGACGTCACATGACGTACCCATATGAGCAATTCTCAAAAAAATCTGCCATTTTCGGGGTCCAAAAAGCCAGGATTTTTTTATGAATGCTTCACGCCCCCTGCGGTATGGAAAGTATCTATTGGGGTATTAGAAACAAGAAAAAATCGAGAACATGATTTTTTGTGATAGGTAATTTTTCTATGTACGTTGTAAGGTCGGATAATATGATTTTCGTAAAAATGGCTTGACGAAATCAGACACCTCTGCAAATCTTCGAGACGAAGCTTAATGTAAAAATTAAAAACCCTGTACCCGACTTATTTTTCAACGAGGAACCCAATGGTGATCTTGAATTGGACCTTGAACGTAACCTTCAAGCTCCAGCGACCCAAAAATCAATTTTCTAATGGAAAACCCGATTTTTTAATGCAGATTCGAAAAAAGCGGAAAATTTTACGTTGATAATACCTTTGGTTTTTTTTGCAGGTGATTGAAAGGTTAAATAAAAAATAATCATACTGGATACAAAACCCTGAAAATTGAATACCAATGCGAGTGTGAGAAAGATGGAGATTGAGAGTAATTAAATGAAAAGAATAATTTATTAAATATAGATTTTGTTCACTAATCAATTATGATTTGGGGCAAAATAATTAATATATTTTCATCAATACATGGTGGAATTCAAGGGATAGTGAGAACAAGTTAGATCTTTCAGACAGACTGTGCACGATGCACAGCGAAAGAATAACTCTCTCGGCCTTGATTCCACCCAAATTATCTGATGCACTTCATTGGTGCTTCGGACGAGTCTCAAATTATTTGGCACAATATTCCGAACATCTTCTATGTTTTTTTCGATTATGACAAAACTTTTAATTTTTGTGTCATTGGCTTGAATGACTTGTCACTGCTTGATTACAAATTCCTTTAGCAAATCCGCCGATACCATCCCCAGGGGTTTTCCCATGACCAGCATCAGTGTAATTCCAGGCAGCATTTTTCAAATTAAAGTAGTTATAATAATAATTAAACAGAAAAAAATGGTCTTATTTTTGTATTGTGCAGATGGACCATCGCTTTGAAAATAAATGGATCGAATTTGTGGAAAATTTTGTTTAATATGTAAAAAAACTGGTTGTAGATGAGCCCAAACTGCTGCTGCGTCATGGTTCAAGCATTCGGAAACAGTGGCAATTGATTCGAAAGAAATAATGCCTTTTTTCATTTCTATAATGAAAGCCACCTGCTTGCATTGACAGTTATTTTTTTGACGCGCCATAGTGACAGCTTTGAATTTCTTTGGCATATTTACATACATAATTTTGAGAAAAATCAATTATTAATAAAATTTCATCATAATTAAAATTTTTTTTTATATTTTCTAAAGCCTTAAACTGGTTTGACATGATAAATGCGTGTTTAGTATATTTTGGGAGAGCACCAGCAAAAACTTCGGTTATTTCAGCTTTAGTGCATTCAATTTGTTTGTGATGTGTTATCGTAACATGAAAATTTTTATTTTTGGCACCAATACGATCGACTTTTTCAGTAACCCATGTGAGATAGTGTGTTCGATCAGATGGTTGGAAATCTAATAAATATTTACTATTTTTATATTTAGTGCAATCTCTGAACATACAATTTTTACTGTTTGTACCACACACCAAGTGTTCTAGAAACGATGATACATTTGGGCCTTTAATTAATTTATTATTTTTAAAACTTTGAAAAATCAATTCGAAATTAGAGTGTGTTTTAAACATACACGTATCTTTATTGGACAATTTTTTTTTAATTACATAAAAAGGTCTTAATCGGTAAAATAATGTTTTGCATACTTTCAGACTACAGACTTTGAGATATTTTTTGTACAAATCATGCATTGTGGCTGCTAAGTAGCGCTTTTGAAATTTTGTTTTTATAGAAATAGTCTGGAATACCGAGTGCAGGGATGGAATTTTCATCATTATTATAAAAATCGGTTACTTCGCGTCTTACTTCGTTTCGTTTCGAAATGGATATAATAGTTTTAGGTGCCAATGGATTTGTACGTCAGAAGTGTTTCGTAAGAATATTTTTTTTTCTATGACCCACTGAAAAATTAATTGGTTCAAAACATTCATTTTTGAAACACTTTGATGCAATTTGTTTTTCTTTATTTTTTAAACATTCAAAATTTTTCCGAAATGTTTCAATAGATTCTTCACAATTTTCTAATTGATTTTTCAATTTATTATTGGTTTTTTGCAACCATTTTATATGACAAATTTTTCGACCGAGAGTATTTTGGCAATTTAACAGCTGTTTTTTTTTGATTTTTAACTCTTTTAGAGGCGCTTATTTCTCTTCTTATCTTAAATTCTAAATTACGAGAGGTTTTAATTTTTTCATTGGAGGTGTTTGTCTGGTCATTGATGACATCGCACACATTTTGATTGGCATCGATTTCAAGTGAACAAGCTTGACTGTTTGGAATGAAATAAAAATATAATTAAACTAGTGGCAACCCCAGTTGACGAATGCCGAGCAAATAGAACATTTAAATTCAATATTACAACCTAGTTGCTGACAGGACTGTTTCCTTGATTTCTCATTCAGATGCATACGCAGGATTGTTTCCGTTAATTGTTATTAATTAATAATATAATTAACAATATAATTAATAATATATTAATTATTATTAATAAATATTATATTATATTATTGATATTCTTATGAATAATATGCAAATGAAAAAGATATGAGTAGTTATACGAATGGGTTATTTTGTGGGTTACCTCCCACTTTCCCGACTCCGCTTTCACGACAACCATTTTCACGACAAGTATTCTTTCTGACGTCGATCATAAAGAATAATGACAATGAATATGTAATAACAAATTTATTAACTTAAAAAATGAAAGTATCTATCAGAGATTTATAGTGTGAGCCAATGAACGAAGATATTTCTCTGTCGAAGATATTTTATGCTGAGCAATCCATTTTAGTTTTTGTGCTCTTTTTATAGCGCGTCCTAATCGTAACTGTGCGATGCATATCTCCACATCGGCCTGTTATTTTTGGAGCTCCCTCAGTGCACTGTACAAGTCTGGATGGTGTTTGCCGACAATTAACCGAAAGCGATTGTGCCATCCTTCACTAACGTTATTTGTTTTATGAGTCCCTGCTAGCACAGCATCATACTGATTCCATAACTTTATAGGAGAACGTCGAGGTGTAGCTTTCTTAGGACGTCTTCCTTGAACTGCTGGAATGCCAATAACATAGTATTCGGAAAAGTAATTGAATATAGTCTTCAGTGCACTTGGAGCTTCTTTTTTTAAAGCTTTAAATGTTGGCAACACATCGTCTACGGGAACATAAGCTAGGGCCATCATCATATGTACAAAATTTGAAATACTTGTGAAAATGGTAGTCGGGAAATTTTATTCGGGAAAATGGTTTTCGTGAAATTGGATTCGGGATTTTCGATTGTCGGGAAAAATACTTGTCGTGAAAATGGTTGTCATGAAAGCGGAGTCAGGAAAGTGGGGGGGAACCATTTTGTGACTACGAGTGCCGGTTACGCTTGCACGAGAAGAGAACTGTTTCACGCAATTTCTGGGGAAAAAGCTTGGCACTTGCTGCATACGATATTTTATGAAATACTATGCAAAAAGTGCACGAATAACGAGCATAATATCTCACAAAATATCAGAAATTTTACCGCACACCAGTGTCCAAAAACGCTTTTTGTGCACTAAAAAGTGTGCCCAAAAATGGATTTTTCGCTATACAATTGCATAACAGTTATTTATGTAACAAGTGCCCAAAAGGCGTTTTTGGGCACGAGTGTGCGAAAAAAGACACAAGTGCTGGCTATGCCATCACGAGTGGGTGTTTTTTCCGCACGCTGTGTGCAAAAAGCTGGGCACGTGTTGCATACAAAATTTTATGCAATAGTAGGCGAAAAATACCTTCATTTAAATGAGGCGTTTTACCGCACACCCGTGTCCAAAATGAGGCATTTTACCGCACACAAGTGTCTAAAAACGCTTTTTGCGCACTAAAAAATATGCGAAAAATAGTAATTTTCGATACAAGTGCCATAAGTAACAATTTTTGGCACGGCGTAGTTTAGGGCCCGAGCGCAGCGAGGATCCTAATAGCTGGGCCGAAAAGTGTCCCCTATGGCCCGAGTATCGAACAACATTTTATAGTACTGTGCAAAGTTCACATTTATGCCCCCTTTTCCGAGCCATGAGTCGCACTTTCTGGTAGCGCGAAGTGAGGTTAGCGCACGAGCGTATGCGAGTGTGATGCGAACGCAGCGGTGCCAGAATGTGCGACTTATGCCACCGAAAAGCGTGCCATAGATGTGAACTTATGCCACGCAGTGCTATAAAGACATTTTTCGTCATACTATTGCATAAAATTATTTTGATTACCAGTTATTTGGCAACAATATAGAAACGCCATGAGTGAGTTACATGAGTTACTAAAGTTTGCATATTATTATTTACAAACTGCTCGAGCTGTGGGTCGATAAGATTACTTATGTAAGGTGGATCACTTAGGCTACTTGATTTTGCATTCATAATTATCTAATTGCACAAGCTGTGTCTATTGGGTTACTTGGGTTACCTTTTTATGTATTTTGAAATTACACGAACTGGAAATTTGCCTTCGGCTTGTCATGTGTGATGTATCAATACAGCGACGAGCATGCGCTGCGCACGGACAGTGCCAGCGTGATGCTGCGATACGAGCTCTGAGCTCTTCGATGTACCCGACATTGCGTAACCAGCCGGTTAAGACGGTGGCCGAGAGCGTAGCTGGCCCGACGTGAGCCGAATTGATACGAGCGCATGCACTGCTAACTGTTAACGGACAGTTAATACTTAAGTAACCTCAAAAAACGAATGAAAAAATTGACGCGCGGGAAGCGCGTTTGAAACTTACTATTTGTGAATCTTCAACTAACCTTTGAACACGAATAAAACAATTGACACGACCAGAGCGCGTTCAAATCATCTCGTCTAAATGAACTTTATCTTATATAATATAATGAAATTAGACCATGTCCGGACGAGTCCACTGGGAACATCGGAGCACCACGTTAAAGCTATGGACCGTACATGATTGACCTACGGTCATGTATAATATGTAACCATCGCTATTAAATGTAAAAAAATCTTACTTATTGTCTCACGACAGATTGTAGATTAATATTTGAATAAAAAAAAAAAAAAAAAAAAAAAAAAAAAAAAAAAAAAAAAAAAAAAAAAAAAAAAAAAAAAAAAAAAAAAAAAAAAAAAAAAAAAAAAAAAAAAAAAAAAAAAAAAAAAAAAAAAAAAAAAAAAAAAAAAAAAAAAAAAAAAAAAAAAAAAAAAAAAAAAAAAAAAAAAAAAAAAAAAAAAAAAAAAAAAAAAAAAAAAAAAAAAAAAAAAAAAAAAAAAAAAAAAAAAAAAAAAAAAAAAAAAAAAAAAAAAAAAAAAAAAAAAAAAAAAAAAAAAAAAAAAAAAAAAAAAAAAAAAAAAAAAAAAAAAAAAAAATATAATATAATAATACATCTGTACGTAACTGTACTGCTCCAAATACATCACATCATGATCCCTTGTTTGTCCAAAAACCATAACTGCACTCATTTAAATTCCAACTTTTAAATCTAAGACCACTTGGACCTCAAGAAAGTGTTTGTGTTGAATAGGGTGAATGCGCCATATTTCGGACCGTTAAATGTTTCTTTACTCATTTACAGAGTTTGTGCACGACGTTTGAAAATGTTTCTAAAAATAACTTTTGATAGAAAAAAAGTAACCTTTTCAATGAGTACATACACTGGACCAAAAAATGCTGGTGATATTTGAAAAATAAAATTAAAGACAAAAAAAATACGAATCGTCTATTTTCCGACCACCTTATCGAGCTGTTAAAGACCCTGAGCTTGGAATTCTGTTAAATTTTTATTTTTGACATCTGAGAGCATTATAAATGAACATACTGTCTAGAAGTGCATGAGGAACCTATTGTCGATTTTCAAATTTATAAAAAACTTTTACATGACAATTATTAAGGGTACCCAACGAAAATCGTTTCTGCTAAAAAAACCTACAAACTTTTACCAACTTTTATAAACTTTTATAATCTGTTAATAACATGCTCATTTTGGATTCTAATAAAAGTTATAAAATGTTAATAGTAGTTTATAAAAGTTTATATTTTTTTTCAATTTTGGGTTCCATGATGTTGAAATAATCTAAACTTCTATAAACATTTATAATTTGTGAATAAAAGTTAATGAAAGTTTAGAAAACTTCAAAAAAGATGATAATAGTTTACAAAAGTTTATAAAAGTTCATTGTTTGTGTGTCCAAAACATGCTTTTTTCGTAATTTCATAATTATAGTATAAATATCATTATAATGCATTGAGACAATGATTTTGTAAGATATGGACAAGACCAAAGTTGGTATAATAAACCAGATTTACGAATTAACCCGTCTAATACCAAGAGACCCTATTTTCGACTTATTTTTCTGCATGTTATTTTTTCATGAAACTATAGTCAAATTAATGTGAAAATTCCATATTTATTGGTAATTTTTATCGCTCTTTTCAAATCTGGCGTCAGATTTACGATACATGCAACCGCTTCAAAAATACATTTGTTTAAACAAAAAAAAAAAACGTTTTTGAACATTTTTTCTCAAAATGGTGGTTTTTTTCACCATGATTATGCATTCGGATCGGCTTGAAACTCTGGATCTAGTGGCATTCAGGCCAAAACTAAAAAAATTAGTGGCGTTGGTTCATCCAGATTCAAGATGGTGGCCACCAAAACAGCTGATTGTAGCCGAAAATGTAAAAAAAAAAGCTTTGGTATTTTTTTACTCGGTAAGAATGGACTCTACGGAAAAATTTTATAAAACAAAAAGTGCTTAGAATTGATAAAAAAACGCGTCTGAATTTTTTCATAATTTTTTGGATGATTTTTTATTTTTAAGCGAGCTTTTATTAGCAATTTATAGTTTTTTATAAAAGTTGAGATTATTCTAACATATTGAAACCGGAAAATAAAAAAAAACTATAAACTTTTATAAACTTCTATAAACTTTTTTAAACTTTTATAATCATTTAATAAATTTTAATAACTTCTATAAATTTTTAGCAACTTTTAATAGAGTCTAAAATCTGAAAGTTTATAAAAGTTTATATCAAAAAATTATTTCCGTTGGGGCGTTAATGCAAGTGATCGAAAACTGGATGGATAATTTTACCGAATAGCCAAATTTTACACCAGGTCAGAATTATAACTTGAACAACAAAAAAGATTTAATAATTTTCAAGGGTACTAAGAATTTTCTCTGAAACAATAAGAGTTGTAGAATTGAAAAAATATTTTATTGCTTCAAAATGTTGCATATATTTTTATTTATTTGAATAATATCTCTGATTAGCCGAAAATTGGATGGTGGCCAAGCACATTCACCCTCTTTCAGATATGTTAGATGTTTTGGATGTTGATATGACCTCTGAAATCCCAGCCCTCTAAAGGTTAAATGTGTTAGATGTGTTAACTTTTTCAATGATTTAAAAATTGGATGAGCTGAAAATTTTCTTTCAGCTCGTGCCATCATCGCTCATTTTTTTAAAAAGCCATTACTGCACCCGTTGAAAAATATAATATTTTTGTTATGCGTATTCTGCAAATATAAATAAACGTTGGAACATGATTAAATTGGGGTTTTTGTACAGGTATTGTAAAAATTAAATGATTTAGTATCATTTTACCCAGTCAGTACAACCTAAAAATAACGAAAATTCTCGAAGAAGTTTTTACAGAAGCCAGATCGGTGACCTGGTGCACCAGGTCGACGGAATGTGGTTTGACACTTTTTACACATTCAGCACAACCTAATAATAACGAAAATTCTCGAAGAAGTTTTCACAGGGGCCAGATCGGCGACCTGGTGCACCAGGTCGACGGAATGTGGCAATCAGACCTTCGGTAGACCGCCCTCAACAACCCTTAAAAATTTTAGACCATTCGGTAAAGTCGTTTTCCAGAAACCGTTGACACCAAATATGTCAAAATCTACCGAGCTGAAAGGATAACAGACTTCGCTTTGCTCGGTATTAATAATACCCATCATTAATTAATGAATGAAAATATTCATTTTTTAATAATATTTATGGCAATACATGCATACCAATGCGATGTGGCACTAGCGCACTAATCTCAGCGATGCAGTTCGTATGCTGCCGCGGGGGATCTGCCCTGATGCTACAGGCCCGGATGCCGAACGTAACACACACACACCGATAATCTGCTCGCTCGATGTCAGATCGCTCCACTTCTCGGCTGCGGTGGTTAGCCCTCGTCCGGTCATCGATGATTTGCGTGCGATGTTGAGATGGAACGCTAGGCCCACGTCTGGGTGACGACGTCGAACTATGGTTCTGCACGTGTACGCTTGCTCGTGCACAGGCCTGACTGGGTGAAACTTGCCTCACGGGCGACAAACTTCACGAGCACACAGAACAACAAGCCCTTCTGGGCGACAGTACACTCGAATCTGCACGTCATCCTCTTGCCTGCCGTCGTCCACAAGTATAAAACACCGTCACTTTCTCAGCGAGACACTGCTGCGCGGACCTGTAAGTCACGAAAACACATACACACGCATACACATGCTCGCGCGAGGTATCCGAGATTTTCGCGGCTCGATGGCTGCAGACCTTGTACCCCGTCACAATATTGTTGCACAAAAAGTATATGATGACAAAAAGTATTCTATACGTTCCGACGTCATAGATTTTTTCGTCTCTACAGGAATCTCACCTCACAACCTCTCTGTAAGCTCGAACCTCGAGTTTTCCTCAGACCACTCCCTAATAATTTTAGCACTTCACTCTAAATTAATAACAGACAAACAATCAACTTTTCTAGGCAATAAAAACACAAACTGGTCAGCATATCGTGACTATATTAACTAACATCTCGTCTAATACCCTTTTAAAAACGTACTATGACATAGAAGCTGCTGTCGAAAACCTAAAAATGCTAATACATAGTGCTATCTCCTTCTCCACTCCGAAGCAAAATGTTGTACTGCATTCTCAAAATACTCGGAAAATTTTGCCTAACATTTTAGATAAAATTCAAGAAAAATTAAAATTAAAAAGAATTTGGCAAATAAAGCAACAAAGGACATTAAAAAAAATTCTTCGTGAAGATGCTGTAATGATCCATAGATCATTCCTTAAAATCAATTGTCTCATGTAATAATTATTAAAAATTCATGCCATTCAATGTTGAGACGCGTAGTAAGTAAGTATATAAGATAGTACAGTATACCGTAGTATATTACGTTCGGATAAGAACGTAGTAGAATGAGAGACTACACGCATAAGCAAGCGCGCCAGTGTGTGTGTGTTTACACGTATGAGCGAGCGCGCCAGTGTGTGTGTGTCTACACGCATAGGCGGGCGCGCCGCAGTATGAGTGCTCACATGTATAAGCAGTCACGGCACTGTATGAGTGCTCACATGTATAAGCAGTCACAGCACTGTGTGAGTAGACGCATGTATAATCAGTCGCGGCACTGTGTGAGTGAGCGCACGAATGGAGTACTGTATTAAATTTATGTACGAAATTAAAACGTATAATGACACGCGCATAACAATATGATTACAATAGAAATTATTTGAAGGGCATGACTTTGTATCAACCAACACGTACAATAACAAGTCTCAGACATAACAATTGAGCAATAATTCGGCGAATTACTGATATGCGCTTTCCTCTGCTTTTTAGTAAGCAAGGGGGCGAGAGCATATTGAAAACATGTTGACGAAAGTATGAAAAATTGGAGAGTATATAGAGAAGCTGCTGAGCTACAATAGGGAGAATCAGAATCAAACCGAAAAAATTGTAACGGCGAAGCTCTGCAAGAAAGTGGCTTATATCTATCTATATTACTATATAGTTGTAAGGATCTCCACACCTGCTTGCCATAGCTCCCCCACATTTACCACAATTTTTAAAAGGCCCTATTTTTACGTGTTTTTTGTTCATTTTTCACGTGATTTTGGTACTTTTTTAGTACTGCTCCCCATGGCTCCCCATTTTGAAAATTGCTCCCCACTGCTCCCCCACCGCTCCCCCACGTGGGGGAGCTATTATATATGGATTTGTTATCGTAATTTTTCACGGTATTTTGAAGGTTCCCCTCCTCCAGGCTCCCCTCCCTCCCCTCCTCCAGGCTGCCCTCCTCCAACCTCCCTTGCTCTGATATGTTATTGTTAATAACATTGACAAATTTCTAATAAAAATTGGAATTCGTTTATTACAAATGAAGTAAAAGAATAGGCAAAACTATGGTTTTGAGTTTTACACCACTATAAAGAATATCGTTTCCACATTACCTATGAACAGTATTAGTTCTTGCATATTTTACATTATTGTCACTTCCTATTAATGTACATAATTGCAAATTGAAATGAAATACTCTTTATTTTTTAATAATGAAAAGGGTTTGTCTTTAATAATTTTATAGTTTAAGGTTTTCGGCTCTTAATGTGTTTAGTCTACAGTTACCACAAAAATGGACATTTAACACAAAATTGACAACAAAAAACTTTTTCAAAAGGCTATATTTAGATATTAGTATTGCGATGTTTTTGTCGTATACATGGACTATTCCACAAAAGGTGTTACAGGCCCAAAAAATGAAGTTGAAACTAACCATTTACTCTTTAAGATCACAATGAAAAATGAAATTCCTAAGCTCCCTAGGTCCAACCCTCATTTATCTACAGCGGCTCAAAGTTGGAATTTCATATTTTGAGGATATTCGGCTTGTTACTCTGCTTTTCTAGAGTGCACATGAAAGAATTTCTAAACCATGTTTTTTCATATAAAATTTGATGTCGAATTCAAATCAGTACCCAAATAAGACATTCATAATCTAAAAACCCCTTAAAATTGAAAAAATAGTGTAAAAAACCATGAGAGTCGAAAACAAACATGTTCGTATACCTCAAATTGGTCAATATTATAATATGTTCATCGTTACACCAAAATACAAGTTCTGATAAAGTTTAGTATCTAAGTCACCATTATAGACAATTTGGTAGCCAAAAAACATTGTTTTTTCCTTATTTTTCATGATTTTTGGCCCTTTGCAAGCTACTTAATGATCTATAATGGTGACTCAGTCACCAAACTTTATCAGAAGTTGTATTTTGCTGTATCGATGAGCATATTACAAATTAGGCCAATTTGAGGTATACGAGCATGTTTATCTTTTTACTCTCATAGTTTTTTACACTTTTTTTTTCAATTATAAGAGGTTTTGAGATTCGGAATGTCTTATTTGAGTACAGATTAGAATTCTACATGAAATTTTATATGAAAAAACATGGTTTGGAAATTTTTTCATATGCACTCTAGAAAGCACAGTAACAATCAAAATATCCCCAAAACATGAAAATCCAACTTTGAGCCCGTGTAGATAAATGAGGGTTGGACCTAGGGAGCTCAGGATTTTCATTTTTCATTGTGATCTTGAAGAGTAAAAGGTTAGTTTCAACTTCATTTTTTGGGCCTGCAACGCCTGTTGTGGAATAGCCCATTTATATATTGTTTCTTCCATTCCTTCCCTTTCTAAATTATATGATACTTAGAACGTAAATTATACTGATGAGTTCTGATTTTCACATTTCCATATAGCGTGTTGTCATGGGAATTACAGGATAGTAAAAAAATATTTAGAAAATAATATAGATCCATCTTTAATTATAAACGAATGTTTTGATACTCCTCTTCACATAGCATCAAAAGTCCGAAACAAGCGTATAATTACTCATCTACTAGAAAATGGAGCTGACATACACTTGTACACTCGGCAACAAAATTATCGCAACAAAAAAATTCATCGAAATTTTTTTCAAATTTCAAATGCTTCTATCTTGGGCTAGGTTTATCGTATCGAGACGCTTCTTTTTAAATTTCTTGGAAATTTTGTCCTCTTTGAATCTATATAAATTAAGATAAGATTCTAGTTAATGTTGAGTTACCAGTAGTATTTGAGCGTGACACTAAAAATTACTGAAAAAAAATGACTGTTTGAACGTGTACCAGTACCACAGTACGATTTTTGGGTTGCTGAGGCTTCAAGGTTACGTCTAAGGTCAAATTCAAGGTCACCATTGGATTCCACGTGCAAAAATACGTTGGATATAGGGTCTTTGATTTTATTTTAACGAATATTTTGCGATATTTCCAGGGGTTTTCATACTTTTGTCGCACCCTGTATAATAATGATACAGAATTTAATCTCAATAAACGAAGTTCATAGGTGGTGTGGAAACGATATATATGTGTCATATCATAAAAGAGTTGATAGCTCAAAAAATCGAATTTCAACTAACTATATACTCTTAAAGATTACTTGAAAAATAAAAATCCTAAAAATCTTAGCTCTCTAGCTCCATCCCGCATGGATTTATAGGGGCTCAAAGTTGGATATTCAAATTTTAAATTTAATTCTATTTTTCTGGGGTGTTTTTGAAAAAATGGTTGAATCATGTTTTTTTGTGTAAAATTAAGCATTCAAAAGGGTAAAAAAACATGGAAAATAAAAGACAAACCATGTTTTTTGCTATATGGAATGCCATGGGATTGTTTCTAATGCTCAACCGATTACCAAAATTTACCTAAAATTGTATTTTGGCCTTTTGATGAACATATTACAATTCTGGCCTAATCGCTGGAGACGAGCAACTTTAGTTTTGGTATTTTATGTTATTTTTCCATTTTAAAGGGTTTTTAGGCTATGAATATGATTTTTGAGTACAAATTTGAGTTCCTTATCAAATTTTACACATAAAAATATGATTTAATCATTTTTTCAAAATCACCCCAGAAAAGTAAAATTAAATTTAAAATTTGAATATCCAACTTTGAGCCCCTATAAATCCATGAGGGATGGAGCTAGAGGGCTAAGATTTTTTGGATTTTCATTTTCTAATGTAATCTTTAAGGGTCCTCTGTACACACTCGGTCGGTAACTATATTCGCGTATTTTGTACCCATTTTTTTCATTAAGTATACAACCTATGGTCTTTAAATTTTGTGGGAGTGATCATGAAACTAATACAAATGTGCCTATGAAGCTATTTTTTCAGATAATTGAAAAAAAAATTGTTACAATATTTATATGAAAAAATAGCTTCATAGACACATTTGTATTAGTTTCCTGATCACCCCCCACAAAATTTCAAGACTAATGGTTGAATAGAAAATGAAAAAAATGAGTACAAAATACTCGAATTAGTTACCGACTACAGTGTGTATAGAGAGGCCTTAAGTGTACTTAGTTAGTTAAAATTCGATTTTTTGAACTATCAACTCTTTTATGATATGACCCATATACATAAGACAAAACTATCACATTACCAACATCTAAATATGGCCTTTTAAAAATATTTTTTTTGGTAGATTTCGGGTTAAATGTCCATTTTTGGGGTAAATAGGGACTAAAAATATTAAGAGCAGAAATCCTTAAACTATAAAATTATTAAAGACAAACCCTTTTCCTCATTAAAAAATAAAATGCATATCACCCTAACGGGGGGGTTGGCGAGCGGAGCGAGCAGGGGGGGCGCAGCCCCCCTAGTATATATATATATATCGAATTAAAAGCTCAAGTAAAGAAAAGTGCAGTGAAAAGAATTTATAGCTGGTGAAGTTAAAAACAACAAATTGAGAAAACACTGCCGAGCAGCAGGCTTTGGGGCCTTCACATCCGTGGCAGCACAGTCTTCAACTCAACAGCAGCCGCTTCCACAAAAGAAAATAACAACACCGTTAAAAATCTAGCGATCTCCATAAGCAGTAAGCAAGAAATATTTGTTAAACCGTTTAATTCATTCGTTGTCCAAATTCGTAAATAAATCAGAGTATGCATTTTAACTTCAATGAATGTAATAATTATTTGTAAACCCTCTCCCTATGCACTAGGAACATTAGGAGACAACGGTGAGTTCATTATTTAACAAGGTAATTGGGCCAGAAAAGGGCTCATTACAATGCAAACTCGAAAATCAAAAACTATTTACAAAATCTCTTACCTACGGAAGCTACAGACTACTCTCTATGAAAAGCTACAAAATTTTTAAAACGTCCACAACGTTTCATACCACCTATTAAGACAGGAAATAACTGGACACGAAAAACAAAGAAATAGCTACAGTTTTTACTGATCATCTAAGAGCAGAGTCTTCGAAACTCCACATAGACAAATAACAGTAATAGAAGAGGAAATATTGCTACACATGCAAATATAGCCACTAAAAATAAGGGAGAATTGAAAAGTGCTTCATTACATGAAATTAAAACTTTAATCAAGGAACTAAAAAACAGGAAAGCGCCTGGCTACGACGGTATAAACAGCAAAACACTGAAAGAACTTCTCTTAAAAGCAGTGCGGTTCATCACCATAATAGTAAATGTATGCCTACGGTTGAAATTCTTCCCCAGCCAGTGGAAAGTTGCTCAAATCATACTGATAGGAGAGCCTGGAGAACCATCAGATCTAGTGACGTCATACAAGTTTATCAGTCTTTTACTGTTATGTTCTAAAATCTTCGAAAAAGTTATACTTAGCAAACTGAAGCCGCTGCTAGAAGAAAGACACATGATTCCGGAGCACCAATTTGGGCTCCGTTAGTGCCACTCCACTATTGAACAAGTGAATAGAATAGATGTTAAAATACGTAACGCATTCGAGAGGAAACATTACTGCTCGGCTGTTTTTCTGGACGTGGCTCAAGCCTTTCACAAGGTCTGGCACTCAGGCTTAATCTATAAAATCAGACTGAAATTTCCAAACATTTTTTAACTGCTGCTCAAGTCATCTACAAGAACACTTAACATCAGTTCAAAAATGGTTCAAGAGCTAGAGAATCAAAATAAACGAAAATAAGTCAGCTCATATGACATTCACACTCCACTGGGACTCATGCCCAATAGTGCTACTCAAGGGGACCGCTGAGCCCCAGTGCGACGAAGTCAAGTACCTTGCAATACACCTTAATCGCCGTCTTTCCTGGAGACTGCATATTTGGACTAAAAGAAAATAGTTATGTCTGAAGTTGAGTAAACTCTATTGGCTGCTCGGGAGAAATTCTGTACTCTCACTGGATAACAAACTGCTGCTCTACAAAAGTTCTATTAAACCAATATGGACGTATGGAATCCAGCTGCGGGGTGCAGCATCGAAGTCCAACATCAACATCATAGAAAGATACCAATCAAAAGTTCTTCGAATATTAGTAAATGCCCCATGGTACGTTACTAACGATTCCATTAGAAATGATCTTGACATGCCTACAAAATCAAACTACAAAAAGCGGCTTAAGTATCACTCAAACCCAATAGCAGTTCAGCTTGGCAATGTGTCGTTTAGTGACTCAAGATTGAAAAAGTACATCTTCTTATAAAAAAACTTATATTAATATACATCTTAAACTTTTAAATTAGATGCTTTGTTCACGAGTGACTGTTATTGGAAAGTAGCTCACACTTGTTATTATTATAATTATTTGTACAAAATTACCCATTGTCTCACATACACACAGATTGTAAATAATAAAGGATATATAAAAGAAAAAAGTACATTGACAAAAAAAGTCCTGTGTGACGTCTTAACGAGCGTGAGCAAGTTCCGCATGTAAACATTTGCACACGGAGACTCGAATTTCAATACGCCGTTACTTTTTACCTAATTAATGAAATGATTCGAAACTTTACCAAAATTATCCTTCATTATTGTACTTTAACGTAGTATTATGAAAAATTTCAGTTTCAAAAATTTATAACACAAGTTTGCAATTGAAAAAAAATTCATGTTTGGTCGGCATTTTTTTTTTTTTTTTGAAAATTAATATTTAAATTGCTAATGTTATGTTAGCTTATTATGAAAAGATTTCGAAGAAAAAAGTTTATTTATTTTTAATTTTGAAAAGTGTTATTTACGTTGCATGAGCAATGACTACGAATTTCAGTCCCGCTGAACGACAGCAACAATGTTTTTTGTTGCACAGTTCACAATCACAACTGGGCAACAAATCTGTTGCAGAAGGAAATAGCTTCAAAACTTCCTTTGGGAGGTATTTGTCTCATCATGAGATCACAATTTTTCTCCTAACCAATGTCCAAATCGCAACATCCCATCTACCTTGATATCGCTGCTCCATATGTTTTATGTCTTCATGGAACCATTCTCCTTGCCCGTCGCTATAATCTTCACACTCTTCTGGGAGCTAATCTGCGTATAGGTGTGCAGGGAATACAGTTTATAAGAAATATTACATTTCATTTCGTCGAAACGTTTTATCATCATTGATATTAAAATTTTTCTATGATCGCTTCTGTGATAACCTTGAAAATTTTTGAAGCTAACCCATGTACCATGGTCCATCTAATATTTTTTGTTACAATTTTTTATCGGATTTATGGAAAAAAATAGATTCTCAATATTTGTAGCATTTATCATGACATTTTGGGGAAATAGAATGTAATATGATTAATAAACTGTATTCTCTGTATAGCTATACATATTAGTCCCCAGAAAACTGTGGAGATTTTGGCGACGAGCAAGGAGAATGGTTCCATCAAGACATATGGAGCAGTAATATAAAGGTAGATAGGATTTGCGGTGATGGCTGGATGTTGAAGACAGAGACAGTCAAAATAAGAGAGGCAAACGCAAACAACAATCATTACGCTGATCGTTTGAAGAATAAAAGATGCAAATTTAAATTTTTGAAAAAAAAAGCATGCAAATTTAAAAATATTTTCTGAATATTTTTCTTTCTTGTATTAATTTTTCATTGTTATGACCTCAAAGGTGACTTCTGTCATCTACTTCAGATTTCAATTCAGCATCCTTAAAAACCTATGAATGAGTATTTTCAGATTTTTTTAAGCTTTTTTCGTGATCTGACCTTAAAATGACCTTCAAATGACCTTTACATGGCCGGATACAGTCATTATGACCTCTGATTCAGATTGAGCGACCCTCAAAACATAAGTGTGATTTTTTCGGATATTTTTATTGAATTATTGTAGTTTGACCTTCAAATGACCTTGAAGGTGACCTCCTGAAGGTCATCCGACCTCGGATTTGGATTCAGCATCCTCAAAAACCCATTTATGAATTTTTTCAGATTTTTTACCCTTTTTCCATTATTTGACCTTCAAATGATCTCTAAAATGAGTCAGCCTTAAAAAACCGACCCTGGATTCGGCTTCAGCGACCCCAAAACATGAAGTCCACTAGGTCCGGTCGGTGGATTTGAAAATTTTTTTTTTGTGTGGCTGTGTTATCGGCTAAAAGACGATACGGTACATGTTATAGTGCTTTGATATTTTTTTACTCACAAGGAGACCTTCTCAACTTTGGGTCATGGATTTGCTCCAAAATTTTTTTGGGGTCTCCTGGTACCCTATACTGAAGCTCTCTGTGCTTAGTTTGATCTCATGGGTCTTAGGACCCATTTTTAAGAGGATTTTTCACATTATGAAAAAATCTTTGTTATTTTCTATATCAATATAGAAGTACTTGAATGAAAAAATGTGACGATAAAAAGTTTTAAAATTTTTCAAAGAATGTGCTTGAATTTTTTCAGAATTTTTAAGGCCATCTATCACTCTTGTCACGTCGGGAGACGGGACTTTTGTAACCTCACGGTTACTGTGGTCTTGTATAAAAATTTTTTAGTGCCAAGACGAGACGTCTTATAGCACAGGGTATATTTCCGTGTGTTTATGTGGTTTTAAAATATCGTGATTGTTCGAAGGGAGAAAGGGTCACTTTCCTCAAGGCGAAATGGTTACCCATTGATCGCCTCGGGGCAGTGATGTCATTAGGAGTTATATTGTTTTATGAAATTAAATTATTTAGAAAAGGGGAAAAAATACAAATAAAGTTAGAACAAGCATTTTTAAATAGATAAGGATATATTAGAATTTATGACTTACATTGTTGAGGTGTAGACGGCTGGAGGCGTCGTGGCACAGAGGCAGAGACACAGAGGACACTAAGAAAAGAGAGAGAGACCCGCACTGGTCGGAGTCGCGAACGAGAGTGATTGAAAATTTTTTTGATAGAGAGAATCAGTTACAGATCTTCGACGTGTAGCTTTTTGTTTGTAACGGCTTCGGCGGCTAAAAATTATGGGAACTCCGTTTCTGTGAGACTTGCGTCTTTGTCTCTGCCTTTGTGACGCGAGCAGCCTGCAGCTCGTCTATCGACACATACGTTGTTACTCGAACTCGGATCTTCTAGATCGTTCGATTTAATTTCTAATGTATTTTTATTTCTATTTATTAGCAAAAAAAGGTTGATGTTCATAATAAATAATAAATAATAAATATTAACTAAAAAAAAAAATATTGTTGTAATACATAAGGAATAATTTTCGATCGCCAGCGAGCCATCTCCTCTTTACTGCGTTTCTGACGAATTGAACGTAGGGAAAAGGATCTGGGTTTTTGATTATATATATAAATTAATTATTTATAAGAGTGTGATTATTGCGGTTACTTATACGTAAACAATAATGTAGAAAATGTTATTCATAGTAAAAACAGAATCAATGCCCGTGAGAACATTGATTCTTCGACGGTTGCACTGGGGCCATGTGGTTTGTTTACAAATTTGACAGGTCCGGGATTCAAAAATATATTTCCCGGCCAACTTCGGCAGAGATAGGGCTGCCTATTTTCCGGGGCTCTTGGTTTTTGATTATGTTAAATATATCGCGTTTTTAGAGGTGATATCACACTCTCTTTAAGAAGTCCTAAAATATATTTAAAAAAGCGTCAAATTTGGGCCTCTTGAATGAAGTGATAGATGGCCTTAAAAATTCTGAAAAAATTCAAGCAGATTCTTTAAAAAATTTTAAATTTTTTTATCGTCGCATTTTTTCATTTAAGTACTTCTATATCGATATAGAAAATAACAAAGATTTTTTTGTAATGTGGAAAATCCTCTTAAAAATGGGCCCTAAGGCCCATAAGATCAAACTAACCACAGAGAGCTTCAGTATAGAGTACCAGGAGACCCCAAAAAAATTTTGGAGCAAATCCATGACCCGAAGTTGAGAAGGTCTCCTTGTCAGTAAGAATGGACTCTACAAAAAAATTTTATGGAACAAAAATTATTTTGAATTGATCAAAGAATACGCGTGAGTTTTTTTAGAATTTTTTGGATGATTTTGGAAATTTTTATATAACCAACGCTGTTAACTTTTAGTATAGGCCTTTATGCCACCAGATCCAGAGTTTTATCCCGATCCAAATGCGCAATCGTGGTAAAGAATACGATTATTTTGAAGACAAATGTTCAACAACCACGTTTTTGTTTGTTTTAACAAAAGTATTCTTAAAACGGTTGCATATTTCGTAAATATGACGCCAGATTTGAAAAGAGCGATAAATATACCATAAGGTATAGTATTTTTTCATTAATTTCACAATGGTTTCATGAAAAAAAAGCGTGGAAAAATAAGTCAAAATTCGGGTCTCTGGGTATTATACAGGTTAACAAACCATTGAATTTTCTACTTAAATTTGGGAGAGGGATAATTTGCAAAAATTGTGGAAGTATTTAAATTGTAACATTCATTTTAACAAATAATTGAATTCAATTTTCCAACTATATAAAGGAAAAATTGTTCAAAATTGGGGCAGTAGTCAAAGTTATTGAAAATATGTTACATGCGTAATATGGAATCTGAAAATTTATTTTAAAAAACCATTGATATAAGCCAAAAGCACCGATTATGGAACAGTGTACCAAGTTGTGGAACACCAGCATTTGAACCCTTATAAATAAAGTTTTTGTTAAAATTTTATTTTGAAAGCAATTGAAAAGTATCAATTTGCATTAGTATAATCAATAAAGAATGATTTCGAAGCTAACTGTGTAATAATAATTCTATTATGGAACAAATTAATCAAGTGTGTCTGAAAAGCGCGTTCCATTGATAGGGATACCCAAAAAAAATCAGTGTCCCTTTAGTGAAACAGTACAAGTTAAGATCGCCCATCGATTTGTTGATTCCAATATTGGAACAATCATTGATTTCGTTGATCCTATAATAGAACGTGCAAAGTTTGCATCTGTTCCATCATTAGGTATCAAAGATACTTTGTTAATATTACTCATATAGGAGCAGTTTTTTCATATATGTACAACTTTGGTGCGGGGGGTTCTCGGATCTGCCCCAAAATTTAGTATGTTATTTGAGTATGTGAAAATAGGCTTCAGGTAAATTTTTATCCCTCTAGGGGCCTTAGGGCCCAATTTTGGGCCCCTCGAAGGTCGAAAAATAGGCGTTTTTACCTACTATTGCGTATTATTCAAATATTTGTAACTCAGGCACCGGTGCATATTTTTTAACTCTGAGGGTCGAATTTTTGAGGTCAAGGTATGTACTTTTCATAAAAAAATTACGTAGAGCTCGATAACGTCACCCCCGGTTATGGGAGGGCAATGAAGGGGGATGAAAAATCGCAAAATTGTCGTTTTTTAGCTGTTTTTGAATTAATGTAGAAGGCGATAGGATTAAAGTTTTAACTTTTGCAAGGTCTCATTTTGAAGATATTTTCATTACCTTTAAATTGCCGTGTGCAGATTTGAGATTAGTTAAAAAATGACGGAGATACAGCTGTTTAAAAGTGCAAACATAATGAAAAAAGGCTTTTTTTCGAGATTTCGATAAGCTGTAACTTTTTTCTAGTTACATGAATCTCTTTGAAATTTTATGTGAAAGTAGTTGATTACATGTCGTTCAAAGCCATGTAGGTAAGGATCTTAGTATTTGCCTCTATACCAAGCATAACCGAAAACGAGGCCCCGGAAATCCGGCATTTTACCCCTTATATAGGCAAAATACATGTTATATTGGGCGGCAGAACTATTTGGCAACTCCTAAAATTATCGCAAAATAAACATAAAAAAAAAATCAAAAACCACATTTCAAACGTATGTTTCGATGAGAAATCCAATGATAACCTTGAATTTGACCTTGAACATAACCTCTAAGCTATAGCGAACCAAAATTGATTTTTCGCACGGTGACCCCCTTTTTTTATTTCAGATTTGAAAAGAGCGGAAAATTTTACGTTGAAATACATAGTTCGTTTTTTTTTTTCAAGGTAATTTTAAGGGCGCCACAGTTTGAAAATAAAGGCTCCATTTGAATTAATATTAAACTCAGCCAAAGAGTTTATTTTCGATCTGTGGCGCTCTTAAAATTACCTTGAAAAAAAAAACGAACTATGTATTTGAACGTAAAATTTTCCGCTCGGAGCGAGCAGGGGGGAGGAGCCCTCCTAGTATTATATATATGAGCGCGTCCAGCATAAGTCGGCCACCCCGCGCGATTACGGCATTTTTGGCCGAAAGTGTCGTATGTTTAGCTCGCTCGGAAACGTTTACCAAGAGTCAGAAAAAAAATCCAAACCCATAGATCGATAGATTTTTTTCTCCTCTTTCTAGTGGTGTAACTCAAAAAATTCTTAAAAATTGATTTTGAGGTTAAAACTCGACTTGAATGTTTAAGTCGATTTATCCAAAAAATGTATCCTCCGATTTCAATTTAAACTGTACCAATCTAAAGAGGAGGCAAA